GTTAGACTACAACCACAAATACAATGAAGTACTTTTACTGTGTACGTTTTGAGTAATACTCTGTCAAACTCCCCTCCTGAGTACAATCATTCATGTATTCTGCTATATTTGTTGAGGGATAAAAAGATTTGTTACCATAAGTTCTACCTAAAATTGATACTGTTGGACTTAGTACTACTTGGACTACTACCACAAGTACAATCAAGTATTTTTACTCTGTACTTTTGGAGTAATACTTGGTTAAACTCCTGTCCTGAGTACAATAATTCATAGTTCATATACAATACAGGAATGATTGTACTCAGGACGGGAGTTTGACCGAGTATTAATCAAAAAGTACACAGTAAAAGTAGTTGATTGTACTTGTGCTAGTAGTCCAAGTAGTACTTAGTACTGACTGAGTTCAACAGTATCAATTTCATGTAGAACTTTTTGCAAAAAATCATTTTATCCCTCATCAAATATAGCAGAATACATTAATTATTGTACTCAGGAGGGGAATTTGACAGAGTATTACTCAAAAAGTACACGTTAAAAGTACTTCATTTTATTGTTGGTAGCAGTCAAACTAGGACTGAGTCAAACAGTGTCAGTTTTATTAAGAACTTATGGTACAAATGATTTGTATCGCAAATAAAGCAGAAAAAACATGCATTTACTCTTGTACTACTAGCGTCAGTGCCGCTTCTCAGCGATTACCGTAAAGGCCCAATTAATTGCCCACTCAAAAATGAAGAGCTGCTGATTTGACCAAGCAAACGCGAGAGACGGCTGAGTTGACCGCAGTACCGGAACGGACGACAGTATCTTAATATCTTCTGAAAACAAATGCCAGTGTCACACACACACACACCCTGGTGACCGGACATCTCCTTCATAAATAGAATAATAAGGCGTAATAATCGGGCAGTTCGATGTGTGTAGAGGTGTGTGTGTGTGTGTGTGTGTGTGTGTGTGTAGAGGTGTGTGTGGCTATAACGAAGCAGCCTGCAGTCGCTCTTTAGCTGTCTAATGAAGGTAAACACAGCGAAGGCTGTGTGTAAAAGGCACAGCTCCACTTCCTACTTGGCGAACCTGTAACTCTCTCGTGTGCACGAGAACATATCTCTTGCGCAAGAGAAAGTATATTGTGATGAGCAAAACCATGTCACTTGGCCCAGGTGGTTTCCACAGAATGGACAAAACATGTTTAACGACCATAAAGGTCCATAGGTACCGACGGCCTATCAGCCAAAACAAACTTAAGTTTGTGTCAATCACTTGCACGTCACTTCTGGTATGATGGGCATTCCCTTTCCGGTTTGATTCTCTAGTTTGTTCAAGTGTTTCGGGAAATGTTAAAGTGTTTCGACACTTGTAAATGTGTCTCTAGCTTTGTAAAAGTGTTTCGCATCTTGTTAATTTGTTTTTGTTAATGTTAAATCGTTTTTTCTTTGGTAAAAGTGTTTTGTTAATGTAATTTTGTTTTAGAAAATATACATTTGTTTTATAAAATGTAAATTAGTTTTATAAAATGTAAATTTGTCTGAAGCTTTGTTAAAGTGTTTCACACTTTGTAATTGTCGATGGCACCTCTCAGCGACCGTACTAATGCCATTGTGTGCAGTGCTTGTAGTGTGCAGTGAGTTTTCTTGACAAATCTGAAAACTGCTGTCTGATGCTGCTGGACACACAACTCATAACTCCAACGTCTAAACTTTAATTCAGCATACATTATAATCAACATTAAGTTGTGCATTTCTGACAATGAATATCTAATTGTTATTTTTCACTTGTGTGCTTTGTATAAATGTCTGCTGGAGAATGCCAATAAAGGCATAAGATTTCAGTCAAACTTTTAACTCCAGAGAAGTTGGGCTGCATTTGTTGAATCAAGACATGAATGCACACTAGAGCATTGTAATCTGACTTGATTCAAAAATGCCAGACGAAGCTGTACTTATCCTGCATTAGGTTTTAAGAGGAGCTAATTATTTATGTAGTTTAGGATTAAAGTGTGACTTGAATATCTCTACAATGCGTCTCTTCTCTGTCTCCAAGTTATCTTGTCATTACACATACCGTACAGGTTGGTGGATGAGCACTTAGAGACCAAAACTATAATAATCCTATTTCTATTTTCAAGTGCAGCAGGTGCTTTTTAAGCTAAGTAAAATTAGGCAGACATTTCTGCATCATGTATCTTCCATAAATGCTTCATCATCCTTTTGCGGGCTGCCTATCCTTCTCTGTAAACTCTTAAACGTCAGACAAACACACACATACAAGTTGTAAACAAGTTCAAGTTGTAAACAAGTTCAAGTTGTTTATGCAAAATGGTGTCATGTCGCTCTGAGGGTCTCTGCTGCCAACTTGACCTGCAATAACCTCCTTAACATTTGGAGAAGACTTTGATCGGTGCTTCATACACACCTCAAAAGAGTAAACATGTTTACAAAGTAAAATGTTGCATATATTTTCTCTAGAAAATCTAACTAATATGAGAAAAATGATTCTGAAACACATGTGATGGTGCAGCTTGAGGAGGGTTGTGTCTAGCGATAACATTTGTAGGTAATAATGTCAGTGTTATGCATTGCCCTGCTATGACACTACAGTAGGGCTCATGAGATGGACCTCCGATGCCCACTCTGCTGCCCTGCTTACACACTTGCCTTGATGTTGAGTCCACTTGACAGGAACCTAAGAAGAGTGTTTCACACATGCTGAGTGAAGCCTAACCAAAGTAAACCACCGAGCTGCCCTGGTTAGGGTTGGACATCAAAACATTATCTGGGCCATTGCTGTGCAGATAAGTGCAGAAATAGTTTGGTTCATGGAGAGAAAAGGGGATGTGAAAGCACTTTAGTGACCTAAATAATATGCTGCTTTCCCCTGAATCATTTCGCCACTGGCAAAAATCTTTAAGGTGATGTCCAGACGGAGCAGCTGGAGTTGAATTCCCTTCAAATTACTCAACATTTGACTCTCACGGAATAGTCATTTCAGCTATCAACATGAAAAGGATTCAAAGGCTGCTCTGAAGGGCTCCCATGGGAGTCCTCACAGAGATTCAAAGCAGCTAAAAGGGCTTGCAGAAAGACTCCCACCATGGGTGCCACTTTACCACACATTCAGGGAAGACTACAGTAATGCCGTGTCCACCGAAAATAGGACAAACATAACTTGTCCTAGCTTATTGTGCAAGACCTGTAAGCTGAAATTGCTTGCACCAACATGAGCTTTCCAAATGATCTAGTTTCCAAACTCTTCCTCTGCCGAGGCTGCCGAGGCTTTAATTACTTCTGCTGGGCCAGCGCAGGTGAAGCACATTCTCACTAACAAGGTGGTTTCCAACGAGGGAGCACTGAAACCCAACAGGAAAACAACATGATGGAGAGAAAAACTGGCGCCCACAATAGAGAGTAACTGATGCTTATAATAACCCCCCACCCAACTGATTTCACCAGCCATTGTCAGATTGTTACAGACGAAACATGGTGCAAGTGGAGAGGAATCCATGGAATGTGACATCCACTGAAACTAAAGTGCGCTCTAGTTTTCACACATAGTGCACAAACATATGCCACGGTGTGCATATGTGCATGCCTGGGTAGCATTAAAATATGTCTGATTTTAGGAACACAAAGTCTTCAAATGGCTTCTCATTATGTGAGATTATGTCGGATGTGAGCCATTATAACCTGAACACATGTTAAGATGTCAAGGGTCATACCAGCAATTACAAATAAATAAGTTATCATTTGTAATTAAAGAACTCATGATCTTCACATCATCAGATGCTGCAGTTAATGTATTCTGCCATCATCGTGTCTGCCCTTATTCAGTAAGTCGGTCAGCAGCACAAACACAGGAGTGGTTTAACAGCACAGACTAGTGGTGACTCTTTGTTATGGCTTCTCTCTCCACAATCACAACATTCTATTGTTAACATGGTCTAATCTCAGTCCATTTCTCTGAAAAATATCATGCTTGCAACTTGTTTGATCCAAAGTGTGTTACACTGTAAATCAGGCCTAACAAACAAGAATCAAGGATAGGATTTTACATTTACAAACATTTATAAACTGCGGTGGCTATTTTAAAGCACTACTTTTTAGAAAGTTATTTGTCCAATGCCTCAAAGTTCAACAGGGGATGGATTTCATTACAAAAATAACTGCAAGTGCACATGATCCTTTGAGACTCATCCACCAGCTAAATTCTATTTTGCTCTGACTTAGTGCACGCTGCTGCACATAGATGGCAAAATAATTCTGGTTGACAGCTCTGGGTCATTGCAGTCACAAATCATGGAATTCCAATGGAGGCAAGTCTGGATTGGTGTGTGTGTGTGTGTGTGTGTGTGTGTGTGTGTGTGTGTGTGTGTGTGTGTGTGTGTGTGTGTGTGTGTGTGTGTGTGTGTGTGTGTGTGTGTGTGTGTGTGTGTGTGTGTGTGTGTGTGTGTGTGTGTGTGTGTGTGTGTGTGTGTGTGTGTGTGTGTGTGTGTGTGTGTGTGTGTGTGTGGGTTCTCTCTTTGCTTACGTTTCACACACCTCTGTGCTAGTATTTACACATGTGTCCTAATGCAACCTCCTTGATCTGTGGGAGTGTGTACTTTTCATACTGAGGTGTTGAATGCTTTTTTCCTACTCCGACTTTTCAGCCCCTCACAGCACGTATGGCTTGTATGTAGCTGGTATAGAAACCTTTAAAGACCCCAATATAGAAGTTGAGCTGGGGCTGTCTTTTGGACCAATCATGCTTTTTGGAACAATAACCGCCCATTCATTGTTTTTATGTCATAGCGATAAGTTTGACATTTCTAGTTATTGCACACAGACACACTGATGCACAGGCAAATTCAAACAGAAGACAAAGGGAACTTAGTTGAAATCCAGGGTCGGCTTTAAGAGTATTAAGTTCTGAAAGGCTAAGGCTCTGCTAATCCGTTTCCCACTTTTCCTCTTCTCTTCCCCATCCCTGTTTGCTCTCTCTATATCCCTCCTTCTTTCTTTCAGGAGAATTCTGGGGAGATTTCTTACTCTTTCAATCCTCAAGTATGGAGCAGCACAGTGGACCTGTGCACTAAAACAGGTACGTACTGAAAATCACAATGACCTTCAAACAAACACATGTGCACACATACATCTTCTTTCCCCCCTGCTGTCAAAAGCAAATTTGTTCTGGGCCACAATGGTGTGTGATTTATGTAGTTAAAAGGCTGTGCCATGTCCACTGAGTAAGAGAGAGGGTGGAATTCTGCTTCTGAGAAAGAGAGTGAAGAAAGCACACAGAAAGACTTTTCCTGAGGGACAGAAAGAACTTAAGAGACTGTCGATAGGATGAAAGTTTAACCAAACATCACCTCCCCACAAGAGTGGCAAATATGCAGTGGACAGACTTGAGGAGAGACATGCAAAGAGACAGACCGGCAGACAGGACAAGACAGAGCGACGATCCCCAGCTGTTTTTAAAACGCTGCCTCTGATACATTATTGAATATGCAGCTCTCCAACGCATCGCTGAGCTTTCCTCTCATGTTAGTTCACATAGCGTCACCATTCTAAATATAAAGCATTCGCTCAACCCTCTTCGGTTTGTTAAAAGATGCAGGGGCTGCACGTTGGCTGTGTGTGTTGCACCGAGTGGCACTTTCCTTTTCTGAAGCTGGCTGGAGTTTTGTGATGAGTTTGTGTGACACATTTTTGTAGCAAGCCTTTGCAGACTTAAAAGAAATAAAAAAAAAATAGATTTCATCAAAATCTTTGAAAGTATTCTTGGATGATGCACAGAGTATACTGAGGCAAGTGGAGTGCTTCACTGGGAGTTGCATGTACTGTACACTGAAGGAAGTGAGATGTTGTCGAGGGGATTGATTTAAAATCAGACAGCATGTGGAACAGTGCAGGTTTACGACGATTGAGTGCAGCAATATCTTTATTTGAATAATTAAAATACATCACATTTCATACGTCTTGTCCTCTCCATTTAAAAAGTTGGATTTGGATGGATTTTCTAAGGTCACTGTCCTAAGACTTTTGAAGGTGGAGTACCAGGTCTAACCTACAGGTGGCAGCAGAGCAACATACCCAGCAGGCATGTTTCTCAAGCAGACTTTACTGGCCCATTTTACCAGCAATGTAGGTCTCCCTTCATTTATCTGTCATCAATGGCAGGTTGTCAAGCAAATGGTTCTTCCTGGCCATGATAAACTATGGAAAAATCAATATGGTATATTTTTGTTGATAGATCAAGAACTTACATGAAAAATGGTGTCCTTTCCTTTTTCAGCTCCCACTTTCAAACTTCATGTTCCAGGATGAACCATGAGCAAAGGTAAGAAACTCGTCTTCAACTTTTACCTAAGCTATAAGTCAAATGTAACCTTAAATATATGCCTGTTTGAGTTTCACTGGACACATGAGTGTGTAAAGATTCAGGTCTTACTCTATTTGCGAGGACAAGTGCTGCTGCATGTATACGCAGTTGTATGAATATTTGAAGGTGTGAGTGTCTCTGTTTTCTGACAGATGTTCAAAGTAAACAACATGATTAGCCCTCTGGCTGCCAGTAGCTCTGTGTGAGGTTGCTATAGTGACTGTGGGCTGAATGTTGGGGAGGCCAGAGTGGAATATGAGGGTGCCGAGGATGAGGAGAGGGGGTGGAATAGCAAATGAAGTGTCTGGTGCCTCCGGCCTGTGTGTGACTGCGTGTTTTTATTTCCGTGTTCAGGAGTGGGTGCATTCATGAGATGTTTATGCCTGCCTGTTTGTGTATTTCTACAAAGAGCACAGCATTGAAGAGACTCTCGTCTGTGTAATTGGGAATTTGATCAAGATAACTCGCTCACAGATTTATAATCACACACATACAAAATCATGTTCAGTCTGCGTAGGAGCCACAGAGACAGGGTTCCTGTGATGGCTGGAGCGTAGGTTGAGGGTAACCTGCTCTGCTTCACAGACCAGCACTTTGTGTCACTTATCACTTAAATTCCCACATCAACGGACCTTTTATTCAAACTGTTACAAAAGAAATGCCCGCTGCTTTTGAGAGCACAGGGCTCTAAAACGGTGTAATTTCAACATAACAGAGGTACAAGAGACACAATACTCGTGATATGTATATTCTGTTTTCTGAGGGGCAGGAATGTTGTTTTTGGTAATTATTTCTCTCTCTCTCTCTCTTTCTCTCTCTCTCTCACACACACACACACACACACACACACACACACACACACACACACACACACACACACACACACACACACACACACACACTGATGCACACAGAGGCAGTGGATTAGGATGGGGATTATGGAAGCATAGCTGTAAAACAGGCAGAGACAGATCAGTGTTACACTCACATGCTGGATGTGTAGAGTCAAATGGATTTATTCTGAGGTGGATGGTATGATGACATAGGTTCATGTGTCGTGATTGAGCACTATTCAAGCTTAAATAGAAAGACAGCAATGAAGCTTTTGGCAATCAATAATTGAACAGGAATAGCGGGAACTGAAAGCTACGGAGATGTGATGTCTGGATTAAAAACCTTTTTATAAAGTTCAAACTAAAGAATTACCATTTTCTACTGAATGACCTGCAGAGAGAGAATCTCACGAGAATAAGGACAATACCGTTTTTTTTTTTTTTTAGGGTAACCTGCTCTGCTTCACAGACCAGCACTTTGTGTCACTTATCACTTAAATTCCCACGTCAACGGACCTTTTATTCAAACTGTTACAAAAGGAATGCCCGCTGCTTTTGAGAGCACAGGGCTCTAAAACAGTGTAATTTCAACATAACAGAGGTACAAGAGACACAATACTCGTGATATGTATATTCTGTTTTCTGAGGGGCAGGAATGTTGTTTTTGGTAATTATTTTTGATTAGGTTTATTTATTAATGTTGTGTTAAAACTGTATGTTGTATTGTTTTGGTTAAATGGGCATATATATATATACGTATTTTCTTATTAGTTGTGTTTTGTGTGGGTGAGCGTGTGTGCGTATTTTTAGGGTACACTTTTCTTCCTTCCTGAGAATTCATTATAAGAAAGGTACGAAAATGCAAATGTTAAATGTTAATGCAAATATGAAAGACTAGGAGACAGGATTATTAAAGAAATATGTGACAGGGTGTATTACAATTTAAATATGTTAATCACTAAGGTGAAAAACATCCCATCAGAGCTCTGAATTAGTTAATGTGTTCCTGGGGGTCCCACCTTAAGTGAACCAATATGATTTTACGTAACAATTTAAAGCAACCCTGAGGCTCTGCTACCAGCACACAGCCCACCGTCCTCTTGTCCTTCTGTATCTCCTGAGTGTGCAGCCTGCTGTGTATAATAGTCATGGTGTGAACTATAATGCGCTGTACCATACAGGGCTGGCTTCACACAGGGATTACACCTAGATGATTCTTCAATAGAGAATTTAGTCTCGGATAGCCGAGCCTTAATCCGCGCCTGTGGAAGCGGACCACAGTGCTGTGGAGCTGTGGCCAGATATGACAGAGAACAGAGAGCAGCCAGATTAGTTCATACTAGGAAGACGGCTGAGCTTGAAGCCGCCTGACAGAGCGTCTCTTGACAGCTCCTCCCAAATCTCTCTACTGTCTCTAATGTAGTCTGAGGGAAACATTGTTCCTCTCTCTGTCTTTTGAGCTGTATTTTCTTTCCCTCGCTCTGTCCCTTTCTCTCTGTGTGAGGTGGGTGCGAGTCATAGAGAGAAAGAGAGTGTGTGTCTTATCGCTTCATTAGCCTGTAGACTTCTGGGTCATTCGTAGCCCTGCTCCCATTGTCTCAGAGGCTCTAATTACCCTCACGTGAGTCACGTCTGATAATTAGGACGGTCCGAGCAGGACACACACACACTGTTGGCGCTTACACATGTGGCACATATGCACACATACACACATCAGTCATTAGTGGAGAGCCTAACATGCAGTAAAGTGCTAATGGGATTATCATTGCTGAGGGTCCCCCTCATCAACCTCTTACTCCTCTCTATATTCATCGTAAGCACAATTCTGAAACACATAAAAGAACCAATTATTTCGATACGATATCTTCCCTTCTTTCTGTCTTTCTTTCTTTCTTTCTTTCTCTTCTTTCTCAATCTATTACTCATAATGTGCTCAATTGGTATATCAACATCAGAGGTACCATGTTGTTAAAACCAACTCAACGGTGCATCTTGTTGACCTGGGGTTTAAGCAACTGACCATGTAATTCTGATGTCTGTAGCTTGGTAACTTTATGGCGTGTCTCTTTCTCCTCATTTCAAATCTTATTTTTTCAATTTTTCATTTTTAATAATCATCTAGTGAACACTTCGAGGATCCTGAGAAAGGAAAGCGGAGCCAAATTAGAACTAATTATAAAATAAACACTCTGCTTTGGAAATATGGTGTTGAAAGCTGGACATTAGACAATTGAGCATAACATGTGTTTGGTATGCATGCAGGTTTTTCGTGTAGTCGCCATTTTAGCTTTTCTAGACTAACAGCTAGTCTAAATAGAAAAATTAAATTAAGGACAAAAAAATAAGCTTGTGAGCAAAGTAACTTTGATCTGCTGTTCTGCTCTTTTATCCTTTAGATGCTCTGGCATAATCACTTCTCTCCATCTATTCAACCCTCTGCCTCTCTCCATCGCGGAACACATTTCATCAGCTCATTTAAAACTAATATCAACCATAACCATTCCATTTTCACTGTGTTTATTCTGTCGACGGAAATGGTAATGGAGATATTGACAGCAGAGTGCATAGTGATTCTGTCCAGGCCATTGTGTTGAGTGGTTCGATGGAGAAAAGTGGATGACTGGAGGGCTATCTATGGTATTAGATATAGTGTGGAAGGCGTGGGAAAGAGAGGCCCTCTGAAAACCAAAAGCTTAAATACCATGCCTCACATACACAGACATGAAGAGACACCACTCTCTCTCTCTCTTTCTCTCTCTCTCTCACACACACACACACACACACACACACACACACACACACACACACACACACACACACACACACACACACACACACACACACACACAGAGGCAGTGGATTAGGATGGGGAT